TAATTAACATATATGCTATCACTTTATTGCATTTAGGATAAAAATATTTCTATCATTAATGTAGATACACAAACATAATGAATATATATTGTATATAGTTTATTGTATATAGTTTACCATTCTTCCACATATTAAAATTAAACTATCATGCAATAATACACCATTATATCATATAGCATTATCAATTTATTGCACAAATAGATATCTTAAAAAACGTACCCGATAAATTATATGTTCGTCAATTCAAACTTTGTGGGTAGCACCAAATCGTGTCAATATTATGGCAGTGCTGAATGATTTAATCATATCTCTTCCGTCTGAAGTCCGATTTTGTTGATTCAATATGATCCGAAAAGCCAACAAAATTTTCTACAACTTTTATCTTTTACGTTTTCTGAGATTCGGACTGGATCATGATCAAAATAAGCCTTGAAGTCGGAATAGGTGTGCTGTAAGTTTGCACCTACAATGGAACCAGAAAAAAATATTAAATAATATTCATGAATCGAAATAATATAAAACCTCATTATTGATCTTCGATTCAGTCTTCTTTCACCAAAATTTCGTGCATTGGACATTGGTGATGCGTTAATATGCGACGAGTTGCATTGGTCACGAGCGGTTGTAATTTCTTATGAAAAGGTGCATTGGCAGTTCTGCCACCCTTTCGTGTTTTCATCATAACTTCCTCGTACGATCTCCGATTGTGACGATTTAACATGTTCTGGAAAGCTAACTTGATTATCTACAACTTTTGTGAAATGTTAATTTGCCATATTCGGACTTTAACACCTTCGAAAATGGGAAAGAATGTGGACTTCATGTTCTGTCCGAAAATGAACTTTCTCCAATTGTATTTTGTAACTTCTTGATTTTTGGCAGACTATCTTCTTCTCCATCTCGTTTACCAACGTGTGCAGAAAACACAATTTACTAAATCACAAAGATTTCGTCTTAAGATTGTTGTTCCCGATACATAAAACGGGTAGTGAATTTAGTAAATTGGTTGAACAAATTAATTAGTGAAAATACGGAAAGATTAGCCGAGGCGAGTTGACTCTGTCCTTAAGACGAAATTTCCCCGCAACGGTGCTAACGGATTAAATGGAAATCGTCTCCCAAGATACAACGGCTAAACTTGGAATAGGAGCACTCCAAATCCCAAGTACGACGAACTGTACTTTGTGTAGAACTTTTCGAGAGAATCTGTGAAGGGTAGGCTTAATATGTAGTAGGCTTGTTTTTGGATTGAAGTGAGTAATTGTGGGAAAGTTAGGGTCTATTTATAAGGTTCGAAAAGTAGTGTCCTTTGGAGCAAAAAGGTATCTTTGTTTGAATGGTTGCACCATTTCAAAGGTACCTTTTGTTTGAATGGTTGCACCATTTCGAGTTGAGCCAATTGGGAGTGGTTGCACCATTTCGAGTTGAGCCGAATGGTTTGCATTGGTTCGGCCGCACCAATTCAGACCAGTCAGACCAATCGAGATGGGCTTCGAGTAATAAGGGCCCAATGGGTTAAAAGCCCATGACTTAATGTTTTTGGCCCGTCCCAATATTTTGATATATATACAGCTCAGTACTTCTCTACTTTTCCAATGTGGGATAACTCAAATCCCACTTTCCTTATATTTTGGACTAGTAATTTTTTCATTCACCACAAAATTGGTTCTAATCCAAAATTCATTTATATACTCAATTAGACCGTACAATAACCTTGATAAAAAATTGTTCATGACTCAATTTTTAACCAATTTTCCCAACATACTTAACCCTAAATCTCAGTAATTAAACTATCATTAATTAATTCATTATATGTGTAAAAGGATATCACAAATAACAAAGAAACAAAATACCAATATTATATAAATAAAAGAATCAATGAATATGTATGTGTTTATCTATACCTAAAAAGAAAATTATGAATTATTCGGCATAAATTGTATACAATTCATCAAGCGAAGGCAACTCCTTAAGCATCCTATCAAAATCTTTGAACGACAGCCCTCGTTCCAGAACCCCCGACGTCGTCGTTTCACGATAATAATTATCAAAAGCACCGCTACTTCTAGGGGGTTTTAACTTCTCCTCCTCCTCCGCCGCCGCCGCCGCCGCCAGTGTGGAGTGTTTTCCGGTGAGCCTTTGGACTACAGATTTGAAGCTCTCTGCGTCAGTCTCCACGTACTCTGTGTTGATTATAACCACCTTCACCGGCAGCAACTGCTCCCTCTTCATCATGCCACCACCACCCATTTTTCCTTATGTACGTACTTTGTGTTGTGTGTGTGTGTGTGTTTGCGTGTATTATGTGTGTGTGTTGTGTGTATTTTCTCTGTGTTCTGCGTGTGTGTTGTGTGTCCACTGGAAATGCGAATAATGGAGAATTTATATGATT